AGATGAGCGGTAAAATGTATGAAGGAAGGGCGTTGACGCTTGACGGGAGCGGCGAAGCTGCCGCCCCTTAGGTCCGGCCTTGAGCGCTAGGATGATCGTTCGTTGGAGTGATACTAAACAACACGGCAATTTTGAACATCGAGGCAGACTTGATAATCAATTTAGACGTTGATGCTCTGGTTGACAGCTTTGCTAAACTAAAAACCCGGAGAAAAACTTTTTAACCTGATCTTCCGAAAATACATTGCAACTAATACATTGAGCTAAGCTTCAACTTTTTCTCCACATTTTATTTTTGTCTCATCCATCCATTCCATTTTATATATTCGCGGCGTATTTTGAAGCAGCTACGCGCACGCGCCCAGGCGGCGCACGAGGGGGGGGGGCAAGATGAGATGGCGTGGGAAGTTGGGAGTGCGAAGAGGGGGAGGGGGAGGAGGGGATACTGTTGACAATATAGTGGCGAAATATTGCAGACCCAGGGGCGGCAAAATGTAGCTTGCCCAGGGGCGGCAAAAAGCTAAATCCGGCCCTGTACTCGTAGATGTCATCGATTTTGAATTGCACTATCTCAAATATGAAGGAAAAACTACGCAATAATTTCGAAGCAATGATTGCTTTGATCGAGTATAAATGTGGATTGATAAAATTTATTTCCGTCTCACGGTGGTAGCAGAATGTAAGACGCGAGCGGTTCAGGGATTTTTCATACTTCGAGGATTCGAAGGTAAAATTAAAAAAAAAAACCCCTTAACATTTCGTATAAAACTTTCATGATTTTTTTTCTACATAACTACGTTCTTGGAGAAGCAAAACTCCAAGCGCTCATTTTTCTTCAGTTTGGATGGATAATTTTTAAGACGCATAATATTCTTATAACACGACGTTCAAAATTCGCGTCTACATCTCAATTTTGAGTTCCTCAGCACTAGGGTCCCATTCTAAGCGGAAGTGCGTTTAAGATATTGGACTCCATGCTTATCTTAGATATACTTGCCTGCTCCTTTCATCCAAGATTTTGGACTCCATGCTCATCGCTAAATTTTCACTTCTTCGCTTGAGCATGGAGGTCAATATCAAGGAGGCCTCTCTCAGTTTTAATACCCATAGAATATCGCAAAATTTTCTCATCTAATCTAACCTATCCTTACCTAACCTTACTAATGCACAATTTTCGACAAGAGCACAGTTTTTCGTCTTTATTTCACTAAAATTGACTTGATACATTTTTCGGCCCTATGGTCATCTAATATCAGAAAATATCTGCATCCCACAAATTTGGACGCTATACTCACTTTGATTCTTCGAAAACATTATTCTTCATTTAAAAGAGCATGGAGTTCAAGATCTTGGGCGTGATGAAGAGCCGAGCATTATACAGGGTGATCCAAAAGTCCCTTCCACCCCTCTAACTTTTTACGTAATTGAGGTAAATATTTTGAACTTGGAGGATGTTCTTAGGTCAAAGGGAGCTAATTTTTAGCTCCCCTCTAAAATTTTCAGGGGAGCCCCCTTGAGGATACTTGGAGGCGGTTTGACATGATATAAACGAATTTGACGTTAGATTTCCAAAACAACTGAAATTTCCAAAATGTCCGCCGGTTCAAGTGCAAAATGGCCGAAAATTGCCAACTCGGTTTTGCTGATGGATTTGCTGAAACTTCAGACTTAGGGGTATTTTGGCATGATAGTAACACATTTTACATTAGATTTCTAAAAAAAAAAAGAAAAAAAAAAAAGAAAAAAAAAAAACAGTTTTCGATCATTTTGAAATTTAACCGGTGACCATTTTGGAAATGTTGGATTTCTTAAAAATCCATTATCAAATTCACTTTGCTATGTCAAAATACCGCTGCATGCCGATTTTCGCGCAAATCCTTTGACAAAAAACCGAGGTGTCAATTTTCGGTCATCGTGAACTTTAACCGGCCGCCATTTTGAAACGGTTTAAAAGAAATACTTCGGGTTTGCACAAAAAAGTTCTTTTTTTTTTCAAACGCTCTTTTGAACGAGGTATCACAAAGGGAGTCTTCCCATTTGAAAAAAAGTTGGGGTCCGTTGTCCCCTCAAGTAGGCCCACCTTAAAATTTTAGAGGAGGGATAAGTAGTAGCTCCATTTGACCTAACAACATCCTCCAAGTTCAAAAGATTTACCTCAATTAGGTAAAAAGTTACAGGGGGTCGAAGGGACTTTTGGATGACCCTGTCTAAGTGAGCAAGTAGTCCAATATTATGGACGCAATTCTAAATTACCGGAAAAATCTTAAAATTTGAAATTTCCACACGGCGATTACTAGGCTATACAAAAAATTACAGGCCATTCGAGCCGGAATACCTACTGATTTGTAATTCCTCTATCCTTTAATTAAGGAGGGCGCGGTAAAAATAGTACAAGTCAGTTGAGGAACGCGCGGTTTTGGAATTTAGCCATCGAATTGGAGCCCTACGAATGGAATACACGCATACCAAAAGTTTCATTCAATTGGAGAGTAAAGTCACGCATAACACTTCATGGAGTGCAAAATAAGGTGTTGGAATGCAACGAGAACTAACTTTTACATTCTTGATCTGTTGATTTTATGAAAGAATATGCTTCCACAAAATTTTACTCCATGGATACATCGACTCCACTAACCAGTGATTTTGGTAAGGTAGACCGACAACGATTCTATTTGGGGAGCCAGCGTGAGGATGTCTCGCAAGAGAAAAAGAAAAATAATTACGAAAACTCGACGTTTCTAGTGGCAACGACATATATCTCACGCTACTAGCATTGGACATAAGGGACATGAGCTTTAAAAGCTCTACAACATTGAAAGTTTGGGGTTTCATAATTTTTTGCATATCTACAGATGACACGGAAGATTCTACCGATGATTCTACCGATGATTCTACGGATGATTCTATTACAGATGACATACATGTAAAGATCATCCTTATCGGTCCGGTAGTTCGTCAGAAAGGGTGCTTCCAAGATTTTGCTTGTAGCTGTATAATATAGATTGCTTCCTTTAATGTTCAGGAATAAGATTTTTGTTTGTAAAAAATCGCTTGAGCGGCAAACATGCGTGCAGAAAATCGATTCAATCTACGCGATTATTTTAGTGCGAAAAATCCCACCCATTTCGACACCCATTTTCGATTATTAACATGAATTTAAGTACAAAGATAAAGATGGAACAAACCTATGATTGATAAGTCGAGCAACATTATTTGAATATCTTAGTTCAACACGACCCAAAACTCGGGTTTTTTATGATATTCATTTATTGCGTAGACACGCTCCTTTCTGGCTGTTGCGCAATGGGCCTGTTGCAAACTTTTGCTAGAGCAAAACTAAGAGTTGTTTCCTGCAGATAATGCCCCAAAAATCACGATGAGCGTATCGGCAAAGTCTGAAATGCACTCATAAATTCACAATCTGCGTAAGAAATTTGCATTATTTTGAGCTCCCCGCTTCAAAAACGATACTACGGTACAGGTGAACATTTTGTTAGAGGAGTCGTTCCATTGGCGAAAATACTCATTGTTGCCGACGCCAGTCCGCCAAAACACGTGTGATGGGACGAGATAACACCTGAACAGGATTAAACCATATAACAATCGGCGTGTTTACATTCATATTTTCCTCGCCCGCCTTAATTGACCTTGAACTCTCCTCGAATTACGCGAGGAACTGCGCAAGCGTCGGCCATGATGAATATTGCCGACGATGGAGCGACTCTTCTAACAAAATGTTCACCTGTGCAGTAGTATCGTTTTTGAAGCGGGAAGCTCAAAATAATGCAAATTTCTTACGCAGATTGTGAATTTATGAGTGCATTTCAGACTTTGCCGATGCGCTCATCGGGATTTTTGAAGCATTATCTATAGGAAACAACTCTTCATTCTGCTCTAGCAAAAGTTTGCAACAGGCCCATTATTATCACATCCTGGAAAACTTCATTTTTTCTGAACATTCACTTTCATTTTTTCATTTCTGGTAGTTTTTGAACTGAGACAGAGAGGTTCAATTGGTTCTTAGATCCTGTTAGCCTCTAAAAGCTAGAGAGTAATTTTTTTTTACACAAACTTGCTGCTCGCTTTCGTAGCACGGAAGAATGGTCGCCAGTTTCTCGGTGCGCCGCATCTATTTGCGATTTGTCGATTAATCTGTCATTCAAAGCTACGGAAATGGATCGATAAACAGGGTGTTCGAGACGAGCACCTCAATAATCGATTCTTTGCCATAGCTTTAAAGGGGAAATATCGATGATCGATCATTCACGCCTCGCCACTGATCGCGCTGATGCGTGCCATGATATGAGCGGCAAGAAGAGCAGTGAAAAAGCACGAACGCCTTCACTTTCGGGGACGCAACACCGACATCCGCTAAGCACGAATAGTTGTATCGTGGTGTTTTGCGAAAGGTCTCGAATTCTGTGGTCGATATCGGACTTAGTTAGGATCTCCCTCCCAGATTAGGAGCTTTTCTACCCTGTACATAAGGTCTTTTTTCGTTGTCTGTAAGAAAAAGTTTCATTGCCCTATCAAGTAAAGTCGTTATTTCTGGATCGGAGCTTCCTTCGTCAAAAACTACAGGCAATTAGAGCCAGAATACCTACTGATTTGTGATTCCTCTATTATTTAAATGAGGAAGGTGCGGTAATAATAGTACATGGAAGTCAATTGAGAAACGCGCGGTTTTGGAATTTATCCATCAAAGTGGAACCCTACGAATGGAATACACGCATACCAAAAAATCCATTCAGTTGGAGAGTAAAGGCATGCATAACCCTTTATGGAGCGCAAAATAAGGTGTTGGAGTGTGTCGAAAATTAGCTTTCACATTCTTGATCTGTTGATTTTATAAAAAAATATGCTTCCGCAAAATTTTAATCCATGGATACATCGACACCACAAACCAGTGATTTTGGCAAGGTAAAGCAACAACGATTCTTTTTGGGGAGCCAGCGTGAGGATACCCCGCCAGAGAAAAAGAAAAAAATATTACAAAAATATAAATTTGAGATCATACTACTCCCTTTAATGACAAAAATTCACACTTTACAATCTTCACGTGCACTCTTTATTACAGTATATTGTTGTATTTCATTTACATTATTTCAGCGTTTTAGGACAGTGAAAATGATTTTTCACGACCCATTCACAAATAATATTTTGTCATTTTCGTTCGTTTGATACACTTATCTGGAACCTGATATGTCCTAACTGGTGAGAGACCTCGAGCAAACAAAAATAAAATGTATTTCTTTAAGGAGGACTACAAAGTATTTGAATCGCCCAGGAAGCTTAAAACTTAAAAATATTTCGAATGACACTTGAGTTCGTTGCTGGCCGATCTTTCCTTAAAGAAGCTAACAAGAACCAATGATTGCCACTTCGCAGGTGCCTTGACAGAGAGTATTTATGGCCGAAAGAGGCCAAACAGTGACTACAACTGAATGATTACTGACTACAAGTGAATGGTTTCTCACCAGTATGAATTCGCTTAATATGCCTCCTTAAATTGGATTTTTGGCAGAAACAGGCCGAACACTCACTGCAACTGAATGGTTTCTCACCAGCATGCGTTAACACATGGCTATTTAAACTATTTTTTTGGGAAAAAGAAGCCGAACAATGACTGCAGCTGAATGGTTTCTCACCAGTGTGCGTTCGAATATGGACCTTTAAATAGGCTTTTCGGGAGAAAGAAGCCGAACAGTGACTGCAAAAGAATGGTTTCTCACCGGTGTGCGTTTGCATGTGGCTCCTTAAATGCGGTTCATGGGAGAAAGAAGCCGAACACTGACTGCAACTGAATGGTTTCTCACCAGTGTGCTTTTGCAAGTGGTACTTTAAACTTTGTTTTTCGGGGAAAGAAGCCGAACAGTGACTGCAACTGTATGGTCTCTCACCAGTGTGCCTTCGCATATGACGCATTAAACTGAGTTTTCTAGAAAAAGAAGCCGAACACGGACTGCAGGTGAATGGTTTTTCATCAGTGTGCACACGCATGTGCTTTGATAAATAGCTCCTATCCGAAAAAGAAGCAAAACACTGACTGCAACGGAATGGTTTCTCACCAGTGTGCGTTCGTACATGGCTCTTCAACTGTTGTTTTCGGGAAAAAGAAGACGAACACTCACTGCAGCTGAATGGTTTCTCATCGGTGTGAATTCGCATATGCCGCCTTAAATCGGATTTTTGGGAGAAGGAAGACGAACAGTGACTGCAGCTGAATGGTTTCTCACCAGTGTGCGTTCGCATATGCCTCATCAAATGTTCTTTTCGGGAAAAAGAAGCCGAACACTGACTGCAGGTGAATGGTTTTTCATCAGTGTGCACACACATGTGCTTTGATAAAGAGCTCCTATCCGAAAACGAAGCAGAACACTGACTGCAACGGAATGGTTTCTCACCAGTGTGCGTTCGTATATGCCTCATCAAATTTCCTTTTTCGGAATAAGAAGCCGAACACTGAATGCAGCTGAATGGTTTCTCACCAGTGTGCGTTCGCAAATGGGACTTTAAACTGAGTTTTCTAGGAAAAGACGCCGAACACTGACTGCAGGTGAATGGTTTTTCATCAGTGTGCACACCCATGTGCTTTGATAAATAGCTCTTATCCGAAAAAGAAGCAAAACACTGACTGCAACGGAATGGTTTCTCACCAGTGTGCGTTCGTACATGGCTCTTCAACTGTTTTTTTCGGATAAAAGAAGACGAACACTCACTGCAGCTGAATGGTTTCTCATCGGTGTGAATTCGCCTGTGCCGCCTTAAATCGGATTTTTGGGAGAAGGAAGACGGACAGTGACTGCAGCTGAATGTTTTCTCACCAGTGTGCGTTCGTATATGCCTCATCAAATTTACTTTTCGGGAAAAAGAAGCCGAACACTCACTGCAGCTGAATGGTTTCTCACCAGTGTGCGTTCGAATATGGACCTTTAAATCGGCTTTTCGGGAGAAAGAAGCCGAACAGTGACTGCAAAAGAATGGTTTCTCACCGGTGTGCGTTTGCATGTGGCTCCTTAAATGCGGTTCATGGGAGAAAGAAGCCGAACACTGACTGCAACTGAATGGTTTCTCACCAGTGTGCTTTTGCAAGTGGTACTTTAAACTTTGTTTTTCGGGGAAAGAAGCCGAACAGTGACTGCAACTGTATGGTCTCTCACCAGTGTGCGTTCGTATATGCCTCATCAAATTTACTTTTCGGGAAAAAGAAGCCGAACACTCACTGCAGCTGAATGGTTTCTCACCAGTGTGCGTTCGTATATGGCTCTTCAAATGGTATTTTCGGGAAAAAGAAGCCGAACATTGACTGCAACTGAATGGTTTCTCCCCAGTGTGCGAACGCATGTGCCTAGTTAAACTTGATTTTAGTCTGAAAGAAGTCAAACACTGACAGCAACTGAATGGTTTCTCACCAGTGTGCGTTCTTATGTGCCCTTGTAAGGTGTGCTTATGAGAGAAAGAAGCCGAACACTCACTGCAACTAAATGGTTTCTCACCAGTGTGCGTTCGGAGATGTTCTCGCAGTTGAAGTTTTTGGGAGAAAATAACAGAGCAATGGTTACAACTGAATGTTTTGGGACCTTCGCTTTGAATATCCATAACTTCATGTAAGGAATCAAGTAGAGTTGTTGCGTAGGATACAGTATTTTGATCACTGCAGTTCAGAGGAGCTAGAAATTCTTCCCTTTGATTCGTGATTGAAAGATCATGGTTTGACAGATTACAGAAATAATCTTCAGGTGTTCGCGCTTCATTCTCGGCGTTTATGACATATTGACCTTCGAAGGATTGCAACGACGATTCACTTTTGATGTCATTATTGGTATGTAAGGGGTCGATCGGAATAAAATTTTCTTCGCCTGGTTCGTTTTTGAATGTGGTCAAAAGGGTTGCTGAAGATTTTGATGGAATCGTCTCAAGTGCCCTGGGTTGCCTATTTTTGACACATAAATTGAGTTCGTCTTCACATTTTATAAGAAGAGGGTCTGCTGAAGATCTGAATGGACTCGTCGCAAGTTGCCTGGGCTTTGTTTTTTCGTCACAACGATTGAGTCCGTCTTCACATTTTACAAAGAGAGGGTTTGCTAAAGAACTGGAAGGAATCGTCTCAACTTGCCTTGGCGGGATACTTTCGTCATAAAAATTTAGCCCGTCTTCACATTTCACAAAGAGAAAGTCAACAGTGGGGGATCCTCTTCCAGAAGCTGATGATTCGATTGGTGGATTACGTTCGATCGGCGAGTGATCGGTTTGAGAAATTTGGAGGGTAGTATCCGCCAACGGATTCATACCGGATAGTGAGCTTCTACGGCAGTCTGCTTTGTGTCGAGAGGATTTCTGGTCGCACGTATCCTATCGCTTGCATTCCTTCGTTGTCCTGGAAAAATTTAAACAAAAAAAGTTGTCAAAAAAAGTATCACATTCCCAAGAAACGGGATATAACACCGCAATGAAATCTGGCAAACAACTTTGTATCATCAAGTGATAAAATAGTTTCGAAACCCAAAAATTCCAATCCGTTTATTCCAATCATAAATCAAGGAGATTCTTTTGAGTATCTATACATAATGCTTTCAAAAATCACCATCGGGAGGGCAAGCAATTCATGGAAAAAGTTGAAATAATTTCATTAAAATTGCATGTGGAAGAGGAGTGGAAGGTAATTACTACACGAAACTAAGTAATTCGAGGACCAGCAATACTTCAATAGTTTCAAAAACGTCGCACGGTTTGAAAAAATTCTTGCAGGAGAAATTTCTAGGAATTTCAAGGACGTACAGGACATTTATGAAGGCAGCAGAATACACCTAGAACAACCCGTTAACCCCTGCACAGTGATAGAATTGTTGATACAGCGTCTCATTGACTCGTATATATCGTATCGTATCGTGACTTGATTAGTACTCACTTACAGAGATTTTAAGAAACGCAATTCACACCTTAAAATCCACGATCCATCGCTGTGAGGTCAACCACGCACCCAGACGTGACTACTGATTGCGAACGTAGAAAGCCGTTCGAACGGGTTTAAGTTTTTTGATCCTCCACAAAGAAAAACTTGTCAGGAGCTTCAAAGAGAAGGCTACTGAATAATTCAAGCCAAAAAAAAAAAAAAAAAAAAAAAGAAAAAAAAGAATTCACTCGAACTCCTAGAAAATAAAGTCGATTTAAAGGTATTTTGGTGCTAGGATAGCCTAATCACCGGTAGTACATACCATTGTTTTATTTAAAAGAAGAAGTAGACTTGAAATAAATGCAATTGCATTTTTTTTAAAAAAAAAACCAAGTAACGTAAGCTCTTGGCATTCACTGCACACAAACTAGAAAGCCCCAGAATGAGAAACAACTTTTAATCATAATTATTGACGGAGAAATAAACTTTTTACACGCTTTGGAAAATCTCAGAGGTTCGCGGTAGTCACTTTTCGGTAGGGAACTGAAGGACTCGGTTATTGTATCGAGTGGGGGGTCGAAACGATCGCAAAGGCGGTATATTACGTGTACGCGCCAAAAGCAAAGATGATGAAGATGACACCCTCTGTTTATACTGTGAAGAACCTTATGCCACATCAAGTGATGTTTGGGTCAAATGCATTCTGTGTCAAAGCTGGGCGCATTCTTCTTGCGCTGAGGAAGACCCTAAAGATAAAGGTTCAACACATTTGTGATTTGTGTAAAGAAACGTTGGTCCTCTAGAATTTTCTTTTTAAAAGAACTTAAGAGATTGAATAGGAGGACATCAAGTGGAATATTTGAAAATTTAGCTTTGTTTTTAAAGTAAAATAATTATGGTTAGAATGGTTGCTCACCGGTGTGCGTTACCACGTGGCTCTTTCAACTGCATTCATCGGAAAAAGAAGCCGAACATTGACTGCAACTGAATGGTTTCTCCCCAGTGTGCGAACGCATGTGCCTAGTTAAAGTTGATTTAAGTCTGAAAGAAGTCAAACACTGACAGCAACTGAATGGTTTCTCACCAGTGTGCGTTCTTATGTGCCCTTGTAAGGTGTGCTTATGAGAGAAAGAAGCCGAACACTGACTGCAACTGAATGGTTTCTCACCAGTGTGCGTTCGCAAATGGTACTTTAATTTTTGTTTTTCGGGGAAAGAAGCCGAACAGTGACTGCAACTGTATGGTCTCTCACCAGTGTGCGTTCGCATATGACGCATTAAACTGAGTTTTCTAGAAAAAGAAACCGAACACTGACTGCAGGTGAATGGTTTTTCATCAGTGTGCACACGCATGTGCTTTGATAAATAGCTCCGATCCGAAAAAGAAGCAGAACACTGACTGCAACGGAATGGTTTCTCACCAGTGTGCGTTCGTACATGGCTCTTCAACTGTTCTTTTCGGGCAAAAGAAGACGAACACTCACTGCAGCTGAATGGTTTCTCATCGGTGTGAATACGCATATGCCGCCTTAAATCGGATTTTTGGGAGAAGGAAGACGAACAGTGACTGCAGTTGAATAGTTTCTCACCACTGTGCGTTCGTATATGCCTCATCAAATTTTGTTTTCGGGAAAAAGAAGCCGAACACTGAATACAGCAGAATGGTTCCTCGCCAGTGTGCGTTTGCATGTGGCTCCTTAAATGCGGTTTATGGGAGAATGAAGCCGAGCACTGACTGCAACTGAATGGTTTCTCACGAGTGTGCGTTAGCAAATGGTACTTTAAACTTTGTTTTTCGGGGAAAGAAGCCAAACAGTGACTGCAACTGTATGGTCTCTCACCAGTGTGCGTTCGAATATGGACCTTTAAATAGGCTTTTCGGGAGAAAGAAGCCGAACAGTGACTGCAACAGAATGGTTTCTCACCGATGTGCGTTTTCATGTGGCTCCTTAAATGCGGTTTTTGGGAGAAAGAAGCCGAACAGTGACTGCAACTAAATTGTTTCTCACCAGTGTGCCTTCGCATATGACGCATTAAACTGAGTTTTCTCCGAAAACACGCCGAACACTGACTGCAGGTGAATGGTTTTTCATCAGTGTGCACACCCATGTGCTTTGATAAATAGCTCGTATCCGAAAAAGAAGCAGAACACTGACTGCAACGGAATGGTTTCTCACCAGTGTGCATTCGTACATGGCTCATCAACTGTTGTTTTCGGATAAAAGAAGACGAACACTCACTGCAGCTGAATGGTTTCTCATCGGTGTGAATTCGCATATGCCGCCTTAAATCGGATTTTTGGGAGAAGGAAGACGGACAGTGACTGCAGCTGAATGGTTTCTCACCAGTGTGCGTTCGTATATGCCTCATCAAATTTACTTTTCGGGAAAAAGAAGCAGAACACTCACTGCAGCTGAATGGTTTCTCATCGGTGTGAATTCGCATATGCTGCCTTAAATCGGTTTTTTGGGAGGAGGAGGCCGAACCGTGACTGCAGCTGTATGGTTTCTCTTCGGTGTGCGTTCGGAGATGTTCTCGCAGTTGAAGTTTTTGGGAGAAAATAACAGAGCAATGGTTACAACTGAATGTTTTGGGACCTTCGCTTTGAATATCCGTAACTTCTTGAAAGGATTCAAGTAGAGTTGTTGTGTAGGATACAGTTTTTTGATCACTGCAGTTCAGAGGAGCTAGAAATTCTTCCCTTTGATTCGTGATTAAAAGATCATGGTTTGACGGATTACAGAAATAATATCCAGGTGTTCGCGCTTCATTCTCAGCGTTTACGACATTTTGACCTTCGAAGGATTGCAACGACGATTCTCTTTTGATGTCATTATTGGTATATAAGGGATCGATCGGAATATAATTTTCTTCGCCTGGTTCCCTTTTGAATGTGGTCAAAAGGGTTGCTGAAGATCTTGATGGAATCGTCTCAAGTGTCCTGGGTTGCCAATTTTTGACACATAAAGTGAGTTCGTCTTCACATTTTATAAGACGAGGGTCTGCTGAAGATCTGGATGGACTCGTCGCAAGTTGCCTGGGTTTTGTATTTTCCTCACAACGATTGAGTCCGTCTTCACATTTTACAAAGAGAGGGTTTGCTAAAGAACTGGGAGGAATCGTCTCAACTTGCCTTGGTGGGATACTTTCGTCATAAAAGTTTAGCCCGTCTTCACATTTCACAAAGAAAAAGTCAACAGAGGGGGATCCTCTTCCAGAAGCTGATGATTCGATTGGTGGATTACGTTCGATCGGCGAGTGATCTGTTGAAGAAATTTGGAGGGTAATATCCGCCAACGGATTCATACCGGATAGTGAGCTTTTACGGCAGTCTGCTTTGTGTCGAGAGGATTTCTCGTCGCATGTATCCTATCGCTTGCATCCCTTCGTTGTCCTGGAAAGATTTAAAGAAAAAAAGGTGTCAAAAAAAGTATCACATTCCCAAGAAACGGGATATAACACCGCAATGAAATCTGGCAAACAACTTTGTATCATCAAGTGATAAAATAATTTCGAAACCCGAATATTCCAAATCGTTTTTTCCAATCATAAATCATGAAGATTACTTTTTATAATTTTTACAATATGCTTTCGTAAATCACCATCGAATTGATTGAGAAAGTAGAAATTATTTCTTAAAAATTGCATCTGAAAGAGACATTAAATGTAGTTACTACAGAAAACAAAGAAAATCGAGTACCTGCAGTACCTCAATAGTTTCAAAAAGTTCGCAGACTGGAGAAATGCCACGGAATTTCATGGACGTGCAAGTTATTGGTGAAGGCATGATAAGGAAAATATACCAAGAACAACCAGATAACTCCTGCACCAAGGGTTAATACAGCGCCTCATTGACTTGTGTAGATGAACCTGATTAGTATTCATTTACAGAGATTGTAAAAAACGTAAGCAACACCTTAATTGAATCCACGAGCCATCGCTGTGAGGTCAACCACGCACCCTTACGTGACCACTGATTGCGAACGTAGAAAGCCGTTTGAACTTATTTAAGTTTTTTGATCCTCCACAAGCAAAAACCTATCAGGAGCTTCAAAAAGAAGGCTACCTACTTAATAACTCAAGGCAAAAAAGAAAGAAGTTCAGTCCAACTCCTAGAAAATAAAGTCGATTTAAAGGTATTTTGGAGCTAGGATAGCCTAATGACCCGGAGAATATCCCGTTGTTTTATTTATAAGAAGAAATATACGGGCAATTCTACGAAAACTGTCCAATTCCAGTCATGATCGTTTTATTTGTAAAATTTGTGATAAAAAGTCTCACATTTCACCAAATCTGATGAAAAATGAGTGTTTTAACGAGTTATAACCATTACAACTGTGTAAATTGATGGATTAAGCTTCATTTCCAGCTTTTACTGCTTAAAATGTCACGACCGTCACTGTCATGCTTGGTAGGTTCCAATGTTCACAACCTCATAACTTTTTTTTGGTCTGATAAATTTTTCTGATTTTTGTACTAATTTCATCAAAAATACTTGCAGTTGAGTAAACAATGCATTTAATTACGAAAAACATTCACCCAATTACGTTAGCCACCCAAAATATTTCGAAAATATGCTGTCATTAAGTTTCACGTTACGACCGTCCCAGGTGTTTTTGCTTGTCAAAACGGCCGCTAGGAGCTGTTAAATCGCTGCGAAAATGATTTGAGGGTGTACAAGTGAAATGAAGGTGTTAGTATGGTGCAAGCTTGCGCAGTAATCGCCCAAAGTCATTTTGAAGATTCTGCCACGATTTGAAAGGAAATTACACTTAACTGAACCTTTTTTTGCGTCACGACCGTCACGCCCTTTATTTTATGAAGCGTGTGATATTCTGAAAAATCTTTGTGCCCACTTTATAGCCATTAATACCAACTGCAAGTTTACCAATTTTCGAGATTGTACCTCATCGCTGTTGAGTACACCCGCCGTTTTAGTTTAAAATTTGTCACGACCGTCACAGTCACGACCGTCGCACCGCATTGGATATTTAGTGTGACGATCGTGTCTTCTAGACGTGTTGAGTCAATAATTAATATTTAAGTATACCCATCACTCCAATTATTGTATGATGACACTACCCTATACAAAACTGCCGCATGCCGTACCGACTCACTCGGCCTCCCCTTCCCCCTAAAAAATTTGACCGAAGCGATTCCTTTAAACTTGATTCGCCTCCATACGGTCCAGAAAAGTATACTCAATATAGGAACGAAACGAACATGTTTTTTTTTGGCACATTTTATGAAAGAATTTGGATTATAGCTGGCCACTTACAACTTTAGTGAGGCCGGTCATGGCAAAAGTACGGCAGATGGTGTAGGAGTCACCATGAGGTCCATCGCCGATAATTGTGTTCAATGTGGTAGTGACATTGCGAGCATCAATGAATTCATCGAAGCTTTTGAAAAGAAAAATGGTGAAATAAAGATATTCGTCTTCAACGACTCGGAAATAAATGAAATCGACACAAAAGGCTCTCTGCCTCAACCTCTCAAGAATGCCTGGAATACTCTTAAATTGCATCAGAGCGCAATTTATGCTCCAAATTGGAAGCTTTTGAATTTGAGATATCTGTCATGCTTGGATTGCCGAAACTCTTTTGAATACAGAAACTACAATCATGGACCTGATTTTGACATTTCAGTTTCTGAAGCTATGATCAATGGTATCCGTTGAATCCCTCTAATCTTGAAAGCCACTGACTCCAAATATTTAAATGTTAGTAACATCTCCCCCCTCCCTACCACCATAAACCCTCACATCACGTGTTTCATACATATCATCCTCCCCCCCCCCTCCGCTCTATCATTGCCTCTGTCATTTCATTTCTTTCTTTAGCTCATCTCATGTTTGCTCTCTCACTCTCTTTCTCCTTTCCCCTCCCTCGTATGCATTTAAGTATTTCAATTTTTCTATACCGTTAGTTACAATTTCCTCACCTCTATAGCTTCTGTGTCGAAGGAAAGTAATGCTGCAAATTCTGTCGCGGCACATGACGTACCTGAATCGGAAATTCTATTTGGAAAGTGGGTGGCCGTGACTTATGATGAACAATGGTTTCTTGGCGTAATCAAAAAGATTGATTCCATAGAAGACCATATCCGCTTCATTTATGTTAAGAATGCTTACTTCAGATGGCCTACGAAAAAAGATGTCCAGCGCGTCAAATCTAAGGGTATTCTGTGCTTGTCACAGCCACCAAAGAAAGAGACGTCTCGGCTTTATTCTTTTGAAATATATCAAAAAGTAAATCAAATTTGTGCAAAATATGTTTGAAGTTTTGTACAAAAACTTTAAAGAGTCACCCTAATAAAAGGGTTTTGTTTCATTGATGCATTTATGAATTTCCTCGAGGTACAAGGTACACTCAGTGCAATTTTCAAATTAAAAGTTGTTTGCCAAAACATTAGTTACAATTTGATCCAAGTGATGATATAGGACCTGGAGGGGGGGGGGCTCCTGAGAGAGTAGGAAGCATAGAGTCATAAATTGACGGTAAAAGAATGACCGAAAATTTCAAATGGATGAATAATGTCACGACCGTCACACTTTTTCAGAGTTATAAAACAACTGCCAGTTTTTAAAATTCATAATTTTTGAACAATGTACAGTATTTTTTTGGAGGCGTAGGTTCAGATACTTAAGAAAAAAACAAATATGTAGATATTTTATCCTTAAATCAAGAAACATTTATATATTTTTCGAGAAAAAAGCTGAAAAATCTGCAGAAATTAGAAAAAATTTGCTATTTTATGATGAACTTATACATTGGGTCACTATTTTTCGTTGTTCCATTTCTTCATAGGACCTGACAGTATAACAAAAAAAATAAAATTGCATGTTTGACCATTTTTCTCTTTCTGGTGGACCAAAATAAGCGATGTGATGGTGGTGACATCCGGGATCTATTTTTAAAACAAATTTCTCATTTTAAAAAAAATTGCCTGATAAAAAGAGGTGCTCGTATAGAATTTTTAAGCCTGATACTATGCTGAACTAAGAAAAAAAAAAAACTCTCAATCCAAAATAACATAGTTGAATTTTTAGTTTTTGGGAGGTCAAATTTGACAGTTTTCGTAGAATTGCCCATACACGAAATAAATGCATTTGCGTTAAATACATATGTCTTGATATTGTGATTTTCAGGATCTTTCTACGCAAAGAAGTTCAGCCATATGTGCCGCTTCTTTCATTTGTAAATTGAAAGTGAGCAATCCATATCCGGAAAATCCACCGTTTGCTGAAAACAATCGCAGACACCAGGAAATCTCGAAAATACCAGTTCGTTATATTCACCCGTTTGCTTTACGAATCAATGCCACGAGTGCAAAAATGTGAAAACCAAAACACTTTAGTCATTTTGGGTGCATTTATTCTGACGTGAAACAATAATAACCAATTTCCATTCCAAAAAATTATCAATTTTCCGTATAAAATCGAATTAAGCGTTAAATTAAACCACCAAATGTGGTTGGATTGTACTTAAAAATCGATTATTCGCGGAAAAATCAAGGCCGAAAATATATTTTCAAGAAATTCGCTCTGAAAAAAAGAAAAAGAGAAAAAGCAAGAAAGAGAGAACAAAAATCGATTTTCAGGAACAGTACCTTGCCGTCCGTTCTTTGTTGACCAGGGGGCTCTGCCCCGCGATCCAACCCCCGTGGTGCTGCGCGCCGCCAAAGGCTGCTTCGTGTCCAGCGAGATCGTCGAAATCGCCCGTTGGCGATTAATGAGCAAATAATTTTAATTGAATAACAAAACGACGTACCAAAGAGAAATTTCCCGCTAAACAATATTCTTAATGACTTTCTCTTTACTCTGAATTTTGATTCCGTTTTTGAAAGTCGACTTTTCCAGGGTCATGTATAGCTGTCCTTTATATAACAAAGGCCTCTGAAAGTGGGAAACCACTCCATTAAAACTCTGATATTTGAACTCTCCTGCCTCACTCACCCCGTCCATCGAGCGTCTTAAAAACGATTTTACTAGAATAGAGAGGATTCTCGTCTCACTGGGCGATTATTTCATTGTCCCTTGGATTGAAATAGTGTCGAGAGTTTTTAAGAATAATATACCTACGCTTGTTGCTTCCTTAAATATTCAGTAGTAACAGTTTTGTTCGTAAAAAATCGACAAAAGCGGCAAACTAAGTTGCGAAAAATCGACAAAAGCGGCAAACTAAGTTGCGAAAAATCGACAAAAGCGGCAAACTAAGTTGCGAAAAATCGATTCAATTTAATCGATTATTTTGTGCAAAAAATCAATTTCTTCCGAAAGTAAAAGAAAATCAACAACACTGCGACCACCGGCGCTCTCGAAGGCCGTACATAGGTTCAGACTCGTTTTTCCTAGCTCTCCATCACCTTCACTCAACCCAGAGGCCATAGCAA